ACAAAACTATAAAAAAAAGTTTCATTTCAATAAAAATCAATATTTCTCTAACGATAGCATTAATTCATGCGTTAGTCAAATGAGAGTCTGTTTTAAATGTAATAAAACTTTCATTTTTAACGTTTAATTCACTTTATATGTGAAAAACAAGTCAAAAGTAAAATACAAAAACTTAATTACATTTTCAATAGACTATTATTTGACAATAATTTACTGTTATTTCCTTTAAATGCGTTATTAATACCCAGTGTTTGTGTTTCAGGTCTACTGTTATATAACGTGTCTATAATATGTGTATCGCATTGAATAAGCCATCGATCGATTGCCACCGATATATACACTCATTAATTAATTATTAATTAATACTAATTATAATATTAGTGACACAATTAGATCACCAGAAAATACAGTGTGTTTTCACTCAATAGCCGATTGTATTTTAATATTAACTAGTTTTAAATTGTTTGTTATATTAACCGTACAGTTATTATTACGAAAACTTTTTTTATATAAAAAATTAATTTTTAAACAGTATTTTTTTGTTGATTAGTATTAATTTCTGTTAACAATTGTATTATTTTGTAATTAATTTTTGTTTTGCATTTGATTTTGTAATACAATTCAATTTGTGATATAATGTACGATATATTGAAAGTGAAGTACGGTTTAGCGATATCGGCCGTATCGGCCGTTACCATCATTATATGCAACCAATTATTGCTCAGATCTTGTCGGCCGTTATATCCCATGAATTTACGCCAATCCACGGATCAGTACAAGCGCTGGAAGTGGAGAAACTTCTTGATCTCATTCATACACTCTATGCTCACTGGCTTTGGATCTCTTATATGGTATGTCTCTTATAATGTTGTGATTGTTTTCATTATAATTTACATTTAGTTTTAATTGTAAAGTGTTTTTACATTTATTATTTTGTTATGAATTTTAGGGGTCATGTGGTGTGTGTGTTAGAGGGTGTGTATGGGGTGTAATGATTATGTTTAAATTAGTACCGTATTGTTATTTAAGTGAATTATGTTTTAAACATTTTTTAAATAAAAACTTAACAAATAAAGTCTATTTAATAGACTATTCAATAGTCACTATTGTTTTAAAATTATTGATTTTTATGGTGTGTTTTATATGTTTGTATTAATCGCTGCTCTCTCTCTCTCTCTCTCTCTCTCTCTCTCTCTCTCTCTAACGATAGCATTAATTCATGCGTTAGTCAAATGAGAGTTCTCTCTCTCTCTCTCTCTCTCTCTCCCTCCCCCAGTGTTGTCTATAAGCCGGCACTTCTTGTGGATGTGATCGATACCTATCTGGAGATGGCTTACGTCCTCACATCCATATCTCATGGTATGTCTTGTGATTTGTCGTCACAATTATTGTTGAATTAATTATTTTATAACTTTTTTATGCAATGAATTGATCGATATTTTCATAACTTTAGGTTATTTTATATACGATTTGATCGAAATGTTAACTCATTTACAATACAAAGGGTCCAAAGAATTGGTTTTGCACCACATTCTGGTCAGTGAATACACACAGTCTCTTCCGAAGACAATACACATATAACTAATGGATTAAATGATTAACTAATTGTGCATTTTGTTGTAATCTCGCAGATAATCTCGTGTTTCTCGTTGACAGTCACTCAACACAAGTACTGCGGTTACGCCTCTATCGCCCTATTGATCGAATTGAGTAATATATTCCTCCACTTTCGACAATTGTTGCTCATCTCGAATACATCGAAAGGCTCGACAATCTATCGGACCAATTGCTACACGAATCTCGGTTAGAATTGTTTGACCACAATTGAACAAACAAACAGCCAATTCAATGCCAGAATATTCTGTATAATTCTTGTCAACTCAATAATCTGTCCCTTAATTCACAACTCTATCCCCGGAATCTAACCTATAGTTCATTTGTGTACAGAATATTCTGCAATGAAAACTAGAAATACATACAAAATCTATAATTCGTGAACACATAGTCTAAAACCTAACTATTAATCTAATGTATAATTTAATCAAATTGTAATACAGGTGTGTTTGTGTTGGTGAGGGGCGCGTGTTTGGTGTGGCTGTGGGCCACACTGTTATGGGTGTTGCCGAGAGTGCCACTCGTTGCCAAAACCATAGCGTTTGTGTCGCTGGTGGGCATCTGTACCATGACTTGCGTGCTGTTCGTACGTGTCTATCGATCGGACTTTTCCGGCCCCACCCGGTCTTCAAAGTCGGCGCCCAACGCGTCGGTAACGGCCGGCGGCGGAGCGACTCAGCCATTACTGGCCGCTGCCGGTGGCGGACAGCCCTCGACAGCACCGCCATCGCCGGGCAATGGGTTCGTTACGGCCGGCATTTCCAATGAGGTTAAACTTCATTCAAAAGACTCGTAGTGTTTGTTAATTATACGTTAGTTTGGATTGATTTTGTATTTTAATTGTAGTTTAGTTTTCAAATTCAATGTATTATTTGTTTTTAATAGTGATATTAAACCCCGAAAAATATTGTATAGTATTTGTACGGCAATAGTAGTAACATAAATGAATTGTTTTTGGTTAGCAATTACAGTATTGAATGCAATAGTATTTTGAAAGTAAATTAACCTGGTCAGCAACTTAATGTTTTTTGTTTTTAAAAATGCGTGTAATTTTGTTTTAAATAATACATTGTCAGTCACTTTAAGCGATTGTTTAAATTAAGTGGTAATTTACTTAATTTTAAATCTCTCTCTCTCTCTCTCTCATATGGTATGTCTCTTATAATGTTGTGATTGTTTTCATTATAATTCACATTTAGTTTTAATTGTATAGTGTTTTTGAATTTATTATTTTGTTATGAATTTTAGGGGTCATGTGGTGTGTGTTTCTCTCTCTCTCTCTCTCTCTCTCTCTCTCTCTCTTAATTGAAAATAAATATTTATTATTAATAAATTATTATTAAAATGAGATTATCATTTGTGTTTTTGCAAATAATTTATAGTTTATATTATAATTTATAACTCACTTACTGTACAATATATTAATAAGTATGCATAAAACATATTATTTCTAATATCATACAATGTTAATTTTGTTAATTAATTAAACTTATTATAAATTAAATCATAATTTTAAATATTGATAATTTATAATAACGGATAACATATTAATTAAAGTAAAAATAAATATTAATTAATGATAATTAACAAATGAATACCAATTGGTGTTGTTGTCGGGGCCGACGCCCCGCCACGAGCGGCATTCACCCCCTCTATAGAACCAGTTCATCGCGTCATTACCATCGAAATGTTTACCCCCACTAGAGTGACCATCTGTCCCATCGGTGTTCAACACGCGGCACAACTGGCACAGCATTTCGTGCGGATGACCCTGCGGCTTTGTCACCCTGTAGTGAGATTTCCATTGAAAATACCGTAAATACTCCGTACGGTTGGCGGCGATGGCCAGCAGTCGGTCGGCCAACTGGCGGGGCGTTAACGGCGTGGCGTCGATGTAGGAGTCGGCGGGCAGTAGGCGTTCGTACGGCACTCCACCGAACACTACCGGCAGTATGTTATACAGGAGGGGGTTATAGATCTTTTCGGTCACGTAATCGCTGCACATGTCATGAGAAAATATATTAGAGAGAGAGAGAGAGAGAGAGAGAGAGAGAGAGAGACCGGATACTGACCGACAGATTGAATTTTCAAACGACAAGTAAAACATATAACTTTTGGCCACGCGTTGCATACAATCAGTCGACCCGTTGCGCCGACACCGGTGTGTACCGCACCGGCCGTACACATCGACACCGATATACTGTTGAAGTTGGTGTACGTACTGTTCCCTGCGGCTGGTGGTGTAGCAATTGCTAACAAACCACGCGATCATTTTAGTTTTATTAGCAAAGTGTATGTCGGGTATTATGCGGTCAGTCGTTGTCAACCCGGTCTCGTTGTCATTCATTTTGCGGACCACACCGTACGGCACGTGTAGGTCAGAGTCGTGCCGATAGCTGGCCGTCAAATTGAAAACAAGTCGACTGTCAATACCGTTGCCTAAGTGGCCAATAAGCGCCGGCGGTTCCATGTTATACAGTGTCCAGTACTGGCCGGGGGGTCTATGACGGGGCGTATCGGCCATATTGATGTCTCGCCAGTGAAACACCAGTGCGTGGCTTATATTTAAGTACTGTCTGTCGGATGTGACCCAACACGGAGTGGCCAGTGATGTGAGTCCGCAGAACTCGTTGTCCACAACGACCGGTCTGTCAGTGATTTGAAGCTCTTTTTCTATTGACTTTTTGAATATTTTGGTCCAAACTAATATTGCTTTGTATCTATGAATTGTTTTACATTCATAATTTATCCATATTTTAATTATTAAGTAAGTTAGTTACTGGTTATGTTGTGTATGTACGCTACAGACTACTTACGTTTTAGCAACATGTGGCCGTTTATGGCGATTAGCGTATGGTTTGTTCAAATGTAATAGGTTAATTAATATAACGGCTACTAAACACAGTATAATCAATAGTCGATAGTATTTTGCAAATATATTTAATCCCATTTTAAACTCCGTTTTATAAATTTAAGTGTAAACTTTA